TTAACCACTGAGCCATCTCTCCAGCCACCTGACAAGCATTTTAAAATCAGCTTTATCTATATACAATAAGCTTCATCTTTGGAATTATAACTCAATGATCATTTGATAGAGGGATGTACCATGGAACCCCTGCCAAAATCAACAGAACATCTCTGCCGCCCCTAAAAGATTCTTCATCTTCCTCTGTAGTCCATCCCTTATCCCATGGTGCTGACGATGGAACCCAGGGCCTTGCACCTGCTAAGCAAGTGCTCTCCCACTGAGCTATCACCTCAGCACTTTGGTTTGCTCTGTCACCAGGATTAAATTCATGTATTTTATATAAATGGGAATGTGAAATATAGCCTTTTGCTTATGATTTATTTCATACGTACCATGGTTATAAGTCCACCTATGTTGTAGTGTTATCAGTACTCCTTCCTTTGTTATTGAGGGCTTGCTATTTATGGATGTACCATTGCTTGATTTTTCTCTTCACCCTTTGATAGACCTTTGAGTTGCTTCTAGGTTTTGGTTTCCGTGAATAAAATTGCTGGGGACACTTGTGACCAAGTCATTGATTGTATGGACATAGGTCTTCATTCTCTTGGAAATACTTCACAGTAGAATGTTGTATCGTAGAACTGCATTTAATTTTTAAGGAAAAAAAAACCCTTCCCAAACTGGCTGGACCACTTTACAGTCATACCAGGGCTGTGCAGTGTCCCAGGTGCCCCATATCATTGTCAACACTTGGCACCAACAAGCATCCTGACGGATACTTCATGATGCCTCATGATCATTTTAATTATCATTTCCCTGATGATGATTCGTGGTGTTTTAATGTGCTTGAGGGGAAGCTCTGATTGTTCCAACTTTCAGTCACTCTATGATAGTGAAGTTGGTAGGTGTGACTGTTCAGTCTAGTATGAAGGAAAGTAGAGTGGGTAGAAACAGACATGAGGCAAAACCCTGCAGGGCTCAAGTTACCATTTCTCTTTTTGAATTTATGCTGCTTATGTAGATGAGTGCTTTGCCTGCATGTATGCATAGTTCACCATGGATGCGATGCCTGCCGAAGCCAGAAGAGGGTGTCAGATCCCCTGTAACTGAGATTACAAATGGTTGGGAGCTGAATCTAGGTTCTCTGTCACTACCCAAGTCATCTCTCCAGTTCACGTTCCTGGTTTCTGTTACCTTTGAGCTGGAGGGCCCTTCTGCCCTTCCCATGGTAGCATGAGCTTTCTAGCAAATTCCCCTTTATGCCAAAGCAGTTTCAGATTTCGTTTGTGCCTCATCCAACTAAGAGATCTGATGGCTTTGGAGCTTCAGTGGTTCTCGTTTGCACTGGAATCTTCCCTCGGTCAAGCTGGAGGAAGCCCCTGCCTTTCATGATGTCACAGGGCTGTACTGAGTGTCACCAATCTCACTGAAGCCTGAATGATACTAGTGTGCTACATAAGAGAAACAGCAGCTGCAAGGGCTGGGGGGTCGGAGGTTTCTTCTAGAATAGGTAATTTTAAACAACAAAGGCATTTCAGAAGTGAGTATAAGTGCTAAGGAAGGAAGGTTTCCTAAGTGCTGTCACTGCAAGTATTGAAACATCAAAATATATCAAGTGCGTAAGTAAAATAGGAGAGAGAGAGAGAGAGAGAGAGAGAGAGAGAGAGAGAGAGAACACATTGAATGTAGCTTTGCTGTTTCCATTTTTGGTCTTTTCTTGCACTCTAGTATTTTTGATTGTCATCTTGACTCTTCTGGGTAAAGACTTGATTCATAACCCACACTGTATGGGGTTAACAGTCATCGTATTCCCAGTGTTAGCCCTCCATTTGGAACGACTTTCTGCACCTGGCCCAGCACGTCTACTTGCTTAAGGTCTTCCAGGTAAAATCCTTAAAATATATACAGTTGAAACTTTAAAGATCGTGGGTATTTCTTTTCATCTTTACAAACTCTTCTAACACTTGCCAGAAAACATTTTTTGTTAATAAGCTTTTCTTTATCTTTGCCAAACTCGCCACCTTGTGGTGAAACTCTAGAATGACACTCTTTATCTTTTTTAAAATATTTTATTTATTTTTATTTTATGTGTACGAGTGTATTGCCTACATATATGTGAGTGCACCCGTGTCATGCAATGCTGCGGAGTCAAAAGAGAACTTCAGATTCCCCTGGAGCTGGAGTTAAGGACGGTTCGTAGCTGCCATGTGGGTGCTGGGAATTGAACCCAGGTACTCTGCAAGAGCAGTCAGTGCTCTTAACCGCTGAGCCATCTCTCCAGCCCCAGCACTCTTTATCTTAAAGCTAACAGATTAAGTCTGTAATTCCAGAACCTGGCAGCTCGGTGTCTGTCAGTAGTGTAGCAGTTTGGTGTGTAACCATGTTAGGAATGAAATCTACCTGATAAAAATTTCACCTTACATGGCTACCTGGATCCACAAATCATACAAGCCATATTGGTGTTTCCTTTTACATGCCTTGGAGTTAGTTGTTTTAACTTCCTACATCCTGGATGGGCTGCAGGAAATAGTTTTCACACAATGCTCATTTGCATCTGCTGCAGAGTCTAGTGCCTCCACTGTGTAGTGTCTTAAGACCTTTGTCAATGCAAAACACAATTCTCATCTCAAAAGATATAGGAGAGTTTATTCTGGAGCCAAATAGGAGTGACCATGGCCCAGGAACACAGATTTAGTTTCCCCGAAATTCTATGTTCCAGTGTGGTAACAGTTTGATGAAGCTTTTATAGTAGTAGAGCACAGAAAGTCAAAAATCAAGGCACTCTTAAAATACTTAGGTGGAGGGATGGAGGGATGGCTCAGAGGTTGAGAGCACTGACGGCTCTTGCAGAGGACCTGGGTTCGATTCCCAGCACCCACATGGCAGCTAACAGCCATCGGTAACTCCAGTTCCAGAGGAATCCGACACCTTCTGACCTTCATCGGGCATTGCACAACATGGGTGCACTTATACACACGCAGGCAATACACTCACTCATACACATAAAATAAAAATAAATAAATAAAAATTTTTAAATGCTTAGGTGGAAGTATTTAAAAGGAGAGGTAAAGTATTTAAAGTATTAGGTGAAGCTTAAAGGGAGAGGAAGGCATTGCCACAATAGGTCTCAGATCTTATCAATGGCAGTCTTAGCCTTTAGGTTGGTAGAAGCTAGTGATCTTTTAAGTTAATAAATTTCAATATGAGGTGTGGATGTTAAGTCAGACAAAAAGGCTTATTAAGGAGGTTGAAGATAACCCAAGAAAAAAGTTATAAGTAGGCCTTAGACCTGGAACAATCATTAAAATTCTAATCAGTTAATCTGCTGGACTGGCTAGGCTGGGGATCTCTGAGATCCTCCCCTCTGTGTCCCCCAGTCTTGGGGTTACAGATCATGTGTGAGCACCTGACTTTAACAAGAATGCTGGGGATCCGAACTCCGGACCTCATGCTTGCACAGCAAATACTTTACCCAGCCCTGACTTTTTTATGTAAGAATCCACTTTGCATTTCTGGTCACCTGCTGAGTTAATCATTAAGTCCTGAACATTGTTTCAGAGTGAGGGAAAGGTGTGTGTTAAGTGTCTTCCTCCCTCTACCCTGCTGGGTCTTAGTAGCTTCATAATTGTACTCTCTAGAGTAGCATAGCGTTAGGGTGAGACTTGCTGTTCTAGAAGGCACATTAGCCTCTGGAGAATTCACTTATGATTTCCTTCACTGGAGTCTCAAAGATTAAAAAGAGGAGCAGAGAAAGCTATTTCTTTATCCCATTATTGGGAACAGAAGGAGAACATTGGTCTATTGAATAACCATTATCAGTATCTTTCTCCCAGATTGAATTAAAATTGCTTGAATATTCTATTATAAAATTCTTTACAAAAATGCTGTCCATCATTTTTCTTCTTTCAACCAGCTTGTTAAGAATGAACTCAGAGCTAATTCAATACATTTGCAATAGTACAAATGTAACTTTTGAAATGAAAGACCCAAAATATTGTGTGTGGTATGATAATTATAACTTCTAATATTTTTCTACTCCTGTCTGAGCTTGCCTGCTTGCTGTGAGTAGGCCTGATGGAAATGACTAATATGCTTTTAACAGGCAGCATTCCAATCCCATTTTAAAAGGTCTTACTATGTGAAATGCAGCAGAAGATGGCCTGAGTATGGACTGTAGAGTTGGCTACAGTCAAGTCTTGGACTGAGCCTTCTTGAGTTTGTTTAATGTCCCTACTTTTCTGAACTTCTGCAGAGGTGAAAAGTTTTGTGGTCTTCATCCTCCTGTTACATCACTTTACTCATTCATAAGGGGGACTCAGGCTGGAACCAGTCAGGGTTAATTATGTGAAGCACACCAAGTGTCTGGTGCATATTCACTGCTTAACAATGTTAGCTAATATTATTTCTGACCTATTATTAAGGAGCTTTAAAACCATTTGTTGTGCTTCCTGTACACTGTACAAGGAACTTAACAAAACTCTCAATGCATCTTATGTTATGTGACCTTCGGAATGTAGCTCAAGAAACTAACTTTTTCCTTTGGTTATTATTCTTATCCTCTTTAGTATATTTCAAGCCTTTAAACTGATAGTTCTTCAAACTAGAATGATATTTTATTTGTTTGTTTATTTTTGCTTTGTTGCTGTTGTTGCATTTTGTCTTTTTGAGACAGTCTCCCTGAAGCCCCAGATGGCCTGGAATTCCCTATATAGACCAGGCTGGCCTTAATCTCACAGAGATAAGCCTGTCTCTGCCTCCCGAGAGCTGGGCCACCACGCCCAGCTAGAAAGGTATTTTTGTCCTTAGGTGAGAACATAAAAGATCTGATGATCACAAAAAAAGCATTCCTTGGAGCAGTGGGTGAGCGATGGCCAAGCCCTCTGCACTTTGTGCTGGATTCTGTAACTTTTCTCTATGGTGCTATTCATAAGGTGACAGGAGGACCAAGGAAGCAGGACCATTGTTTACTAACCTTTGTGAATTCTGATTAAGATCCTTTCAATATTTTTATCTTTCAGAACATGGCTTTCAAATTCAAAAATGCCAAAAGAATCGAGGGCCTTGACAGCAATGTGTGGTGAGTGTCTCAGATAAACAGCAACTTGGTGATGTCTCCTACAGTCCCTTAAGCTGGATTTTTAGCTTCATCTGCAGTCCAAAAATGAAGCCATTCATCTAATTCACCCATTAAAGTGAAATGGAAGAAAGCGGACCATCCACACCATGATTAATTTACTTAGCAGAGGTACCAAGCTCTGGGCTGGCACTGGACACACAATGGAGAAAAGCCAAATGTGGCTGATGCTTTTTGGGGTTTTTTGTTTTCTTGAAAGTGTCTTGCTATGTATGTAACCCAGGCTGGTCCCAAACTCTTGATCTTCTTGCCTCAGCCTCCCCAGTGCTGGGATTAAAGGTGTGCACTACCACACCCAACTAAAGTTTTATTAGTTCTCTTTGTTAAGAGAACCTAGTAACAACTAGAAATGGTGCTGTGTGTATGGAACCATATAACCATATTTATATATACCTGTCCATACATATATGATTCAATTATGGGTGGTTGTTGATTTGAAATCTCTGAGGAAGAGTCATTAATTCAGCCATCATTTTAGTAGGTGAATTCATCTTATGGGTGGTAAAAATTTTTTTGGTAACCCATTTTTTTGTTTTTATCTCTAAAACTAATCTTTTTCAATTTTTAATTTTTTTATATTATGTATATGAATGCATGTATATAAGTGCACTCACGTCATGTAGTGCCCGTGGAGGTCAGAAGAGGGCATCAGATGCCCTGGAACTGGAGTTCTGGACGGTTGTTAGCACCCATGTGGGTGCTTGGAATTTAACCCAGGTCTTCGAGAGCAGCCAGAGCTCTTAACCACTGAGCCATCTCTCTAGCTCCCTTTTTCAGTTTTGTAATGAGATCATACAGTATACGAAGCAAACTTTGTGATTACAGCACTTGCTAATGTTAGTATTTTTTAAAAATCAGGATTGAGTTTACCAAGTTGGCTGCAGATCCTTCTGTTGTGAATCTTGGACAAGGCCTTCCAGATATATCCCCTCCTACGTATGTAAAAGAGGAATTATCAAAGGCCGCGCTAACTGATCACCTGAATCAGTATACTCGGGGCTTTGTAAGTATACCAGGATTGTGTGGTGCGTGTTATAGAAGAAAATACAGAGGAAACTGATTCAAGAGATTGGTGTAGGCAATTATTCTTTTTTACTTTTGTAAGACTCCCTAAAGCACAGGAAACAAAATAACAAATAGAGAAATGTGTTTTTTTTAATATTTTATTTATTTTGTGTATATGAGTGTATTGCTTGCATGTGTATAAGTGCACTCATGTCATGCAATACCCTTGGAGGTCAGATGAGGGCATCCGATCCCCTGGAACTAGAGTTATGGGTGGTTGTTAGCCACCATGTGGGTGCTGGAAATCAAGCCCAGGTCCTCTGCAAGAGCAGCCAGTGCTCTTAACTGCTGAGCCATCTCTGCAACCCAAGAAATGTGATTTTTTTTTTTTTTGGTCTTTTTTTTTTTGAGAGAGGGTCTCCCTATAGCCCCAGCTGTCCTGGAACTCACTATGTAGACCAAGCTGGCCTTGAATTCACAGAGATCCACCTGCCTCTGCCTCCCAAGTGCTGGGACTAAAGGCGTGCACCACCACGCCCGGCAAGAAATGTGATTTTTCTGAAGCTAAGCAACTTGTGTACAAGAAACATAACAGAGTAAAGAGACAACCTATAGAATGGGAGAAAGTATTTGCAAAGTGCTCATTAGACAAAAGATGAATATCTAGAATGAATATGGAGACCAACAAAAAATATTATACAGTTAAAAATGAACAGGAGGTTTAAATAGAGATCTCTAAAAGAAGAAACAGAAATGACTAACAGTGTGTGAAAGAATGCTTGGTGTCCCTCATCATCAGGGAAGCAAAAACCACAATGAGAGATCATCTCACCCCCATCAGAATAGTTATTAGTAAAAGCAAAAAGTGGTAAATAAAGATGAGGTGGAAAAGGAGCTCTTCTACACTCTTGATAATACTGTAAGTTAGTGCAAGCATTCTGAAAGGCATGTCGTATTCTTTAAAAAGTTAAAAGTAGGGCCAGCAAGATGGCCAGTGGGTAAAAGTGCTTGCCACCAAGGCTGTCAGTCTGAATCTGATCCCCAGAACCCACATGGTTTTCCTTCTGAAAACCTCTTCAACAGCAGACAGAGGCAGGGTCTGTGGATACAGTGAATGCAGGACTTCTAAATTCGTCTTAACTGGGAAAATCTTTTTACTTACTAAAAGTTCATTTCCGTTGAAACCAAATACTTTGAAATTATGTATTCCCAAACCTTCTTGGTATAAAGTTTTCAGCGGCAACAATTCTTCATAACCATTCATTTAGGAACCCTCAAAGTATGAAAAGTTTTAAATTTGTTGCTATTTTAAAAGTACAAAGTTAGGGAAATGATTCAAAGTATTGTACCCAAATTTTAAAGACTGTTATACTGTAGAGTCACATTACCTCAAAGAAATAGCACGCACAGTCAGTTTCTAGGATTGTATGCATGTATTTTTATGTCTTATTTTTTAATACAACAGGGTCATCCATCCCTCGTAAAAGCGCTTTCCTGCTTATATGAAAAATTTTATCAAAAGCAGATCGATCCAAATAAAGAAATCCTTGTGACAGTTGGAGCATATGGGTCTCTCTTTAATGCGATTCAAGGACTAATTGACCCAGGAGATGAAGTGAGTCTGTGGACATTACCGTAATACCTACACTGATCTTTATCGTGGTCCCACATTCATACATTTACTTACTTTGTGTTCTTTTCTTTTTCACTTTAAATCCCTGTTGAAGTCTAATGCTCATACTGTAAAGTTAACATGTGTTAAACATAAAGCTGGATAAATTTCCATGTAACTGTAATGCACATGAAGAGGAGAGGAACACCATCATCCTCAAGATAATGTCTATAAACTACCACTCCACTCTCTAAAGGATTGCAATATTTCATTTTTAAAATCCCCCTCTTGTCCCTGATATAGCATGCACATCCTATGCTGTGTTTCAAGCTTGAAATAGACAGAAACTCTTAAGGGTTTTGATTTGAACATCCCTTTGAGAATTGATGGGCCCCCAGATAAGTGTGTACCTATAATAATTTACAATTTCAAATGTCCCCAATGTAAGCCCATCTGGAGATCTCCCAAGAGACCAAGAACTCCAATTTTCACTCCTAGACATTTTTATACCCTGTGTGTTTTGCAGATTAGCATTAGCTCCATGAAGGCCAGGCCTGACTTTTTGAGTACATGTCGACCATGTATGTAGCGCAGTGCCCCCACATGTAAGAGGCACAGTGGTCATGAACTGAACTGCTGATACTCTGTGTTCTTTGCTTTCATTTCAGGTCATAATAATGGTGCCTTTTTATGACTGCTACGAGCCCATGGTGAGAATGGCCAGAGCCACACCTGTTTTTATTCCCCTGAGATCCGTAAGTTCCCAGTCCATTCATAAGCTTTTAGAAATTTTTAAATAACAATTAAGTTTATCACCTAAGAGATGTCTAAGTCTTTTCAAAATAATGAATATAGTGACACAGGAGAATCACAGCATCTTCTGTTAACCTCACAGTATCATAGTTGGGGCTGGCTCCTGGGAAGGTACAACAGCTGTGGTGCTGACTGGGTTCATGGTTCCATTCACCAGGTGTGTGCATAAGACCCAGGTCCTCTGGGTTCTCAAGGCTGAGCCTAGTTATTCATACTTATATTTGTTGCTAGCCAGCTATTCAGTTACCTTTATCACGCTTTTCTTTAATCTTTTTTCTTTATTAACTTATTTGTTTGTAAAACAACAAACATGAATTTGTTTACATCACATCTTTATTCTTCATGCTTAGAAACCTACCAGTGGAACAAAATGGTCTAGTTCTGACTGGACGTTCGAGCGTCAAGAACTGGAAAGCAAATTTAGTTCTAAAACCAAAGCCATTATACTAAATACTCCACATAACCCCATGGGGAAGGTAAGCGTGTCTCTTGTAGAGGCTGTGACCCCCTGTTTTCTCACGTGTTGAATAATAATTGGCTGTGCCCTTTCCTTTAATATACGTAGGTGTATACCAAAGAGGAGCTGCAAGTAATTGCTGACCTTTGCATCAAACACGACACCCTCTGCATCAGTGATGAGGTTTATGAATGGCTTGTCTATACTGGAAATAAGCATTTAAAAATAGGTACTGATTATTACATAGAGTCATGAGTCTAAATGTGTTTGGGCACATGTGGAACAACTGATTGGAAAGGATCCCAGGCCAGCTTTAAAATAGTCCTTGTGAGCACTTAAAAATAATATTTGAATGGATCATGCTTGAGTGAACTGAAGATCAGTTTGATAGATAAATAGTTCATATGGGGAAAGAGATTTCTTACCATGTTGTAAAGCTGGGAAGCCAGCAGCGTAGTTCTTTTTTGCCTCAAGCTTCTTAGCAAGAATCCTCCTACTCCTTGGTATGGAAGACACGGGGAGAGTAACTGTTTCCAAAGAGGTTTGTGGTGGTTTCTGCTGAGCAAGTTGCCAAACTGCCAAAGCACAGAAAGAAGTAGAATGGTAATGTACTGCAACTCAGTCTCTCTGGGATTTCACTATTGCTACTGGGCTAACTCAATCAGATACCACAGTATCATCTGGGGTGGCCCAAACTCTCAACCACAGGACTAAAAGCTTGGCAGCAACCTTTGGATTTTTACACCTAGCCTCCTGAAAACAGTATCCTGCCATTTGTCCACATGGCTCCCTTGATCTTTGTTCCAGGGTCTCTTTTCATGGCCTCCAGCATTTGCTTTCTTCATTTTTGCTTTGTTTTTTTCTCTATGTAGTAAAATCAGAATCTATGCATTTTGTTTTTGTGGGCTTTGTGGGGTTGTTTTGTTTTTTGAGACAGGGTTTCCCTGTATCCTCAGCTGGCCTGGAACTCACTACATAGGCCAAGTTGACTTCTATCTCACAGAGATCTGCCTGCCTCTGCCTCTAAGTGCTGGAATTTAAAGAGGTACACTACCATACCTGTCAAAATCTATGTATTTTGATTCTAAACCACAAGAGGTGATTATTTGTGTTGGCCTCTTCTGAGTCCTCATTGAAGTCCTACACATAGTAGGTCATCAGATGTCATTGTTGAATAAATGAGTCCGAAGCATGAAAAGAAGAAGGGAAAGCTGACTGAGGGATACTGTGACAGCAATGGAGACATGAAAAAGATTGGTTCACACATATGTAAACAGTAGAAGCATGATCATCATTGTTCCAGTACCACCTTACATATGGCCACAGAGATCAGAGGAGAAAGCAAGTGATTTCAGAATCAGAGCACAGTGGCCAAAAGATGGACTGAGGCAGGCAGAGAAATGGAGACAAATTCCTTCAGATAACTGGCACACACTTTGGCAAGGAACATAGGAAACGAACTACAGTGAAGGAGAAAGGCAGTTTGATTTACAGGGAATGTCCTACTTTGCTTTCCTGTCATTGTGGTAAACACCATGACCAAAAGCAACTTGGGAAGAAAAGAGTTTATTTGGCTTGCAAGTTGCAGTCCATTGTGTAGGCAGGAGCCGATGCTGGGGCCATGGAGGGGTGCTGCTTATGGCTTGCTTGCCCTGGCAAGCATTCTTATACAGCCCAGGCCCACCTGCCCAGGAGTGGCACTGCCCACAGTGGGCTGGGCCCTCCTATAGCAATTGAAAATTAATACATGCCAACAGGCCCACAGGCCAGTCTGATGGAGGCAATTCTTCAGTTGAGGGTCCTTTTTCCCAGGAGTGTCTGGTTGACAACTGAAGTTAACTGTGTCATAAGGTGTTGTAACTGGCCCCAGGGAAGTGGGAAAGTAGGACGATTCCAGAAGACTTATACACGAGGGTACAGAGTATAGTCCTAGTTGCAGAAGGCACTGACTCTGAAACTTCCTAGAGCACCTCAAAATAGCAATGTCCCACATCATGAAACACAAACATAATAAAACTAGAACTCTTCCTAACAAAAAACTGGACATTAGAAAACAAAAAGATTTATGTGTCTTTTTGAGACAAGGTCTCCCTGTAGCCTCAGCTGGACTAGAACTCATAGCGATCTGCCTGCCTCTTCTGGGTTTAAAGATGTGCATCTGGTAACAAGATATATTTTTAACTCTGATTTTAGTTGTTACAACAGCCCATAAAGCTAAAATAAAACAAAATATGAATTGACTAAGTATTTAGAAAATGCAGTGCTTGCATTGGAACATGGGTATGCTGTCGATGGCAATGGTCTGTTACGTAGAAGATGCAATGGCTGCATTATCGGTTCCCCATGTGAGGATGGTTTTCTAATATAGTCCACTACGGCCTTCTAGCCATACATCAGGAAACAAGCCTCATTTTCATGTTACCTCACAGGTGATTTTCCCTGGTGCTCTTCATATCACTCACCTTTACCTGACTTCTACTAAAGCCTCACTCACTTATGTATAACAGAGGCACTTTGGCCAAATTATGCAATTTTTTTTTCATAAATGAGAAGAGCAAAGTTGCCTTTCATATGTAAGTATAATCTAAAGTGAAAATCTAATTGATACAGGGCTGGAGAACTAGCTGTCAGTAGTGTTTGAAGGTTTGGGTTCAATCCCCAAAACCCAAGTAAGAGTTTTTCTTAAAAAGCTAGTGTGGGGCCGGGTGTGGTGGCACACACCTTTAATCCCAGCACTGGGGAGGCAGAGGCAGGCGGATCTCTGTGAGTTCAAGGCCAGCCTGGTCTACATAGTGAGTTCCAGGACAGCTGGGGCTACAGGGAGACTCTGTCTCAAAAAGACCAAAAAAAAAAAAAAAAACAGTGTGGTGGTATGTGCTTGTGCTTGTAATTCCATCACCAGGTGGACAGTAACTGAGGAATTAAACCACAGGTCATCCTCTGGCCTACACACTCACCTACCCCCCACGCACACATACAGAAATGACACCACAGGTTGTCCTCTGGCCTACACCCCCCCGATACACACACACGTACAGAAATGACACCACAGGTTGTCCTCTGGCCTACACACCCACACCCCCCCCCATACAGAAATGACACCACAGGTTGTCCTCTGGCCTATACCCGCCCCACACACACACACACTGAGAAATGATACCACAGGTTGTCCTCTGGGCTACACCCCCCCCATACACACACACAGAAATGACACCACAGGTTGTCCTCTGGCCTACACACCCACACACACATATACATAATGGATATTGTTTTATAAGTCATCAGACTTTGAAAGTCTGGTTTTGTTTGGTGGAAGAGGTTGGGGTTGTTTGGGTTTTGGGTTTGAGTTTGGGTTTTACCTGTAAATTAAGCTGTCCACGTATCCCCCTTTTTGGTCTGTTTTTTCACATTAGCATCAGCAGCTCCCCCAAGTCTCTTTGGCTGGGGACTTTATGTCTTAACAATACTTAAGGCTTTTTTTTTTTAAAAGAAAAATGGCAGAATTTGCTCTTACTGGATGAGATTCTTGGTTTAAATATCTCCCAGTGACTAAACTGACATTTCCACCATCAAAATGAACCCTCCCTCCCCATGCTCCTCATTCATATACTAACACACTGATACTTTAAAAATGTGTATAAAATCCCTTGTAAGCTACATACTCCTTGAAATAAAATATTAACAGATTACTTAGCTCTTTTTCCCTTAATACTAATATTAGAGTTCTTATTTTAGCCCTGAATTTCTGCTCTCTCCTTTTCTGATTAAAGGTGGTATGTTTTCAAATCTCAGCAAGGTATCACTGGCTGTCATTGCCTGACCATCCAAGCCCACTGCTCTCTAGCCCTTGCCCAGCACTGCTGTTGCCTTATGTGTCTAAGTCCTCTGCTAGACATCATGCTCTTTGAAGACAGGAGCTGTGTGTTACTGTTCTTGACTTCCTCTGCCCTCTGGTAGTTAGTCATTAAGACATTTAATGAGTGAATGAATGGCTTTTGAAGATACTAATCAAGTCACACATGGTGATTTACACCTGCCTGCGTAGAAAAAATGTTCTAATATAAAATGTAGTGATGGCTGTGCAATGCTGTTGATAATGCTGAAAACCACTGGATTACAGACTTTAAATGGGTGAATTATAGAGTATGAGATTTTTTTATCTTGATAAACTTGCAAGCAAAGCTAGCACAGACAGACTGCTGGATGCACCCCTAGAGTTTCTGAGTTAGTAGGTCTGCAATGAGGCCCCAACAATTTGCCTTTCTTAGAAGTTCCCAGTAATGCTTCCATTACTTGTGAGGGACCACATTTAAAGAGCCATTGCTCTAGGAAGTGTGGAGAAACAGACTCAGAAAGGGGTTCTCAGTACTGAGAAACACATCTAAAACCAGACCACAAGATCACTGTTGAATACACAGCCCCAACAAGTACTGAACACCAGGTCCCACAGCTCCTGTGACAGCAGGACTATGTTCCTGGAGTGCTACCTGCGGACAACACTGCACTCCTGTCCCTGAAAATAACTTTGCCATTTGAAATTATTGAATCCGGGCTGGTGAGATGGCTCAGCAAGCAAAGGTGCTTGTTGGCAAACACAACTCCACTTTCATCCTCAGAGATCCACTGGATGGAAGGAGGGAACCAACCCTCACCTCCTCACATGCATCGTGGCTTGTCTACCCCCCCCCCACACATACACAAATAAGTAAACGGAATAAAATCACATCTATTTGCATGTTATTTGAGTACAATATTACAATGTTTAAAGGTATTGCAACATTTTTAGGTGAATTTACATTATCAAAACAATAGTATTGAAATAACTGTACTAATGTTACCGTAATTAATGCGTTTGTTTTCATTGAACTCATACTATCTGTATTGTGCATTTAGATTATACTAGATGAAAACGGATTGGAAAGCAGTTCTTTAGCTACTGCTTTTTTCTTTGTCTTTTCAGCCACTTTTCCAGGTATGTGGGAGAGAACAATAACAATAGGAAGTGCAGGCAAGACTTTCAGTGTGACTGGCTGGAAGGTAAGAGAGTGAAGATGAGGCTGGGGATGCAGCTCAGCAGTACAGCACATATTTTAGCATGTGAGAGGCCCTGGGGTCAATTCACTGCAAGAGAATTAAGTATACTTAATGATATTTACTGATTTGCCCAACACACAACTTGCCTCAGCATAGGGGAGAGGCTCCTAATAACCACAGACTTTGTTTACCTTCCAAATGAAGGCAGCACAGGAAATTTCCCCATAAAAACAATAGTGTTAGAGCTGGAGAGATGGCTCAGCACTTAAGAGCACTGGATGTTCTTTGGGTTCCATTCCCAGCAGTACCCACATGGCGGCTAACAACAGTCCTTAACTCCATTTCCAGGGTATCAGTGCCTTCTTCTGGTCTCCATAGGCATTGCAGAGCATGGGTGCACTTATTTTCATGCAGACAAAGCACTCAAACATGAAATTAAATAAGAAATTTTAAAACTCTGTAGTGTTGAAATGCTGAGAGTGAGCACTGCCCCACTTTCCTCCTGTGAAGCTCTCTGAACTGCCTGTATTTGTCAATTACAACTTCTCTCTTAGATTTGATACGTATTCTCACATCAGGTTTTGAATGCTGCTTTTGTCTTCTCCCTTCCCAGCTTGGCTGGACCATTGGTCCTAATCACTTGATAAAGCATTTACAGACAGTCCAACAAAACACTGTTTATACGTGTGCAACTCCTTTGCAGGTAGGTGTTAGTCTTTTTATTTTTTATTTTTTTTATTTTATGTGTATGCATGTGTTGCCTGCATGTATGTAAGTGCACCCAGTGTCATGCAGTGCCCACAGAAGTCAGAAGAGGCTGTCGGATCCCCTGGGACTGGGGTTACAGACAGTTGTTAGCTGCCATGTGGGTGCTTTGACTCAAACCCGGGTCTTCTGCAAGAACAACCAGTGTTCTTAACTGCTGAGCCATCTCTCCAGCCCCAGGTGTTAGTCTTTGCTGTATGTGTGTATAGGCTTGGTCTTCACTTCTTCATGAGCAGGGACTTCTAATACAGTTTGGGAATTTAGGAGCAGACATATAGTCTTTGGGTAATGCCCTCCTTTCAAGATCCCTAGCTTATATCACATCTGCAAAGTGCCTCTTACCATACAGGGTAGCATATTTACAGACTATAAATTTTAAGAGGCAGACATCTTTGATGATCATTCTTTTTATTGCAATGCATATTTAAAAGAAAAGAAAAAGTAGCTGAATGGTGGCACATACCTGTAATGTCAGCATTTGGGGGCTGAATCAGGAGGATCATGAGTTCAAGGCTAGTCTGGGTTACACAACAAATTCAGAGCAGAGCTGAACAATATAGCAAGATCCTATCTGAGGGGTAGAAGGAAGAAGAAATAATTACTGATATGGAAAATTTTCCAGAATATATTGTGAGGTAAGAAAAAGCAAGATTGAGGCCAGGCATGGTGGCACACGCCTTTAGTCTCAGCACTCAGGAGGCAGAGGCAGGTAGATCTCTGTGAGTTCAAAGCTAGCCTAGTCTACATAGTGAGTTTCAGGCCAGCCTCACTACAGGGAGACCCTGTCTCAAAAAAGATCAATAAAAAGAGAGAGAGAGAGAGAGAGAGAGAGAGAGAAAGAAAGAAAGAGAAAACAAGAAAGAAAAAGATTGGAGGTGACTCCGTGGCTAAGAGTATTTGCTGCTCTTCCAGAGGACCTAGGTTCAGTTCCTAGCACCTACATGATGGCTCGAAACGAGTAACTTCAATTTCAGAGGCCCTCTGCTGGCCCCTTTAGGCATTGCACACATGTGGGGCATATATATACATGCAAGCAAAACTCAGACATACACACACAAAAATAATTATTGTTTTTAATTAAAAAATATGGGTGTGGTGGTACACACCTCTAATCCCAGCACCCCAGAAGGCAGAGGCAGGCAGATCTCTGTGAGTTAGAGTTTGAGGCCAGCCTGGTCTCCATTAGCAAATCCAGGCCAGCTGCAGCTACAGGGAGAACTTGTCTCAAAAAGGCCAAAAAGGAAAAAAAAAACAAGATACACAGCAGTGTATAGGTATACTATTTTTGCATAAGAAAAGGAAATCTTACTGTGTTTTCTGAATGGAACTCTGAAATGATATGTAAGAAACTAGTAAAATGAGGCTGGAGAGATGGCGCAATGGTTAAGAGCACTGGCTGTTCTCGCAGAGGACCCAGGTTTAGTTCCTAGCACTCACATGGTGGCTAACAACCATCAGTAACTCCAGTTCCAGGGGAATCAATACCCTCTTCTGGCCGCTCTGGGTACTGCACCCTCAGGTGCACTCACATGCATACAAAACACTCAAGCATATAAAATAAAAAATAAGTAAGGCCAGGTGTGGTGGCACACACCTTTAATACCAGCACCTGGGAGACAGAAGCAGGTGGATCTCTATGGGTTCCAGGCCAGCCTGGTCTATATAGAGAGTTCCAGGCCAACTGGGGCTACAGGGAGACCCTGTCACAAAAAGGACTAAATAAATAAATAAATAAGCTGGGCATGGTGGCTATAGAAAAGGTAGATAAAATTAGTAGATAGGGACAAGGTAGGCTCAAGATTTGTTAATCTTTTTCTCTAAAATTAATCTCTCTAAAGTTAAGACAATCTGTCTTAACCTCCTAAGGGCTGGGGTTACAGGTATGCATCACCATTCTTGGGCTATAATCTATACCTTTTTTATATTGTTTCTACTTTTTTAAATTACTTATTTAATAATCACACAGAAGAAGCATTTCATTACAACAGCATTGACATATTCAATAACAATTTCCAGAGCTAAGATGCATCTCCTTCAAAATTGGCTGCAAATTTTTAGGTTTACAGTTGAATTAATACAGTTATACAATATTGT